CCAGCCTCCCAGACACACAGGGACAGCCAAGCAGTCTGCAGGGGCCATAAAGGAGAGGGTTTTCCTGCCAGCTCCTACCCAAGGAAGAAGGGTGCACGGTGCCCCCCCGCCCCTCAGCAGAGAGTGACCCAGGACTTAGAGGGGAGGCCCCAGGAAGGCAGAGTCTGACCCATCTGCATCACCCTGGCACCAAAATGCAGCCCCCCAGAGTTACCCAGGACCATGCCACCCAAATCACAAGGTGTAACTGACAAAAACGCATGCTCCACCACTCACAAGAAATGCAAATGGGCCCTGGGCCAGACACCACTGTCAACCTTCTTCCCAAAGCCCCCACAGGGCCCAGGACAACAGAGGAGTTCTTCCTCCTCCCTACCCTACACCCATGCTCGTGACCCCCAGGAAAGCCCACAGACTTTATGCTGTGCCAGTCCTGCCTCAGGCACCAGCCTGGGAATACAGACACCTTGACCAGAGGGATGCTTTGAAACTAATTCGGACTAAAGTGTAATGGACTGAAAGCGGGACATGAAGAACTATGCTTTCAAATTGGATCAGGTTGCAAGACCCTTCAAAATCAGATACACGCAAGGCCCCTGGCATCGGCGTGGCCGGGGGCAAGTTCTGAGCCTCCCTTAGCTCAGTTTACTCCTGAAGTCTAGCAGTAATCACAGCACGGGCCTCTAGGCTGCTGTGAGAATTCCAGAAACTGATGCGTATCGGCGCCTCAGCCCAGTGACAGGCACACAGTAGGTGACCCCTGAAACAGCTGCTGTTCTGGTAATTCAGAGAAAACCAGGAACTATTGAGGGACTCAAGCAAAGGTCACAGCACATATTACGCAGTGCTAAGTCAGAGGCCATTTCCCGCCCAGACCAGCGGCCGCAGGTGCCAAAGGTTTACACAAAAGCTCTGGGGAGAAAGACTTAGGACTGAAAATGCTTTCCACTAAATGAACGTTGTTGCAAACTGGGAAAAGACCACCATTAGTCAATTTGGGTAGCGGAACACCTGGGGTCCAGCTTGCGAAAACCTGGTGTAGAGAGCGGAGTTTGGCAATCTGGAAGTTTCCCTGGGGGAATGGGGCTATACTGGTGGGATTCCTGGATGTGACAGGCCCACGGAGAAGCTGCAGGGGTGCACAGAGAGCCCTGTTCCAGTCCTTGCTCCTGACAGATGGAAACTTCCTCTCTCTCGGCCTCAGTTTTCCCATCTGGAAGATGGTACAGTTGGGCTGAGAACCTCTATCTCCACACAGCCTTTGGGCTCTCTGATCCTAGGAACTGACAGATGGCCCAGGGCTCCACCTCAGTCCTAACCTGTGGCTCTGGGGACGGCTGCGCTCCTGAGAGGCCAGAGGAAAAGAAAAGGGGTTGTTTGACTTTGTGGCTGATGCCAGAATGGAACTGGAGGGTCTCATCTCCAAGGGGTTCGCCTCCCCCACTTGGCAGCCCACAGGGGCTGGATTTGAAGCAGGCCAAACCTAAGAAATAATAAATCCTCACCCGGCTTCGCCCAGCCAGGAGGTCCCCAGATGGCTCTTGTCATAAAGAGATCTTATCCCCACCAGCACCCCTAGCTGCACGTGGAGGACTCCGCCCTCCTCCCCTCTGTCCCCTGCTTCCACCTTCTACTTCCTGTGACAACCTGCAAACTGAAGGCCAACTTGCCTCTCCCCCGACGCCCAGGCTTCTCCTCGACCCCCGCCCTGCCCCACCCCCACCAGGGCCCCAGCTGCAGGAGGCCCTGCAGAGTGTAATTCCCCTCGCCCTCTCTCTGCCCTGGGCCCGTCCGGACAGATTAAGCCTTTGTCACACACACCCAGAAAAGCTCAGGGCCAGATGGGACGGGACAAGTGGTGTCAGATCATCGACCCGAGGCTGGCCGGGACTAGGAGAGGGCCCCGACCGCAGTACCGCATATGGCTGTGGGAGGAGGAAGGGAGGCCCAGGGTGGGGGCAGCCAGAGAGCAATGTGGAAGAGGTGACACACCATGGCCACCCTGGGGACAGAGGCTCTATGGGGCCTGTCGCTGCTGGGTGACCCAACTCCTACCTCCCTTATTCCTTGGAATTTTTCTACCTGCCCTCCTTTGAAGCCCCCATGGGCTTCTTTATCCTGTCCTCAGCTATACCCACCGCCCCCAACAGCTGGGTGACCTGGGAAGCAGGCACAGAGCCCCACCCACCCCAGCACCCCAGTGCCCATACAAGGCCTGTGGGTACTTAACAAATGCCTTGGACAAAGGTTTACGGCCTAATGACCTTCACAAAAACCCACCGAGGACCAAACTACAGGCTCTCTCCCAACTGATACCAGGCTCGAGGGTGTGGGTGGGTGTGGGTGGGTGTGTGTGCACGCGCACACACACACACACCAGGGAATGTAGATGTGCTTTGCACCTTTCAAAGGAGGTCCCATTCAGCCCCTCTCAGGAAGAGGCCAGGGCTGCCCCAGAATTCCCAGCAGGATTTGTTCCTCTTGGATCAGTGAAAAGGAAAATGGAAATATAAAAATAATAACTGGGCCCCAGGAAGGTACTTGGAGATGGGGGTGGCAGGACTCAGGCATTTGCGGCTGGCTCCGGCTGGCTGGGCGAGTGGCAGGTAACTAACGGGCTCTCTGGGGACCAGCAGGCCAGGCAGGCGGGCGTGGGGAGCCTGAGGGCAGGTTGTCGAGGGAGGGCATGTCTGTTGTGTTTGTCGTCCTCCTGGCAGCCTGCACTGGGAGGCCTGGGTCCCCTTTCTCTGCCTCTCGGGCAGGTGGTCCCTCGGGGAGGGCTCATTATTGGTCTGAGAGCCAGGGTGGAGGCTGAGGACAGTCCCACTGTCAGGGGCAGGCAGGGCAGGTCAGCATGGGTCTCAAGGAGCCTCTGAAGCCAGCAGCTGGCCCAGCAGGACCTGGGGCCCAGGCCTAGCACCCAGTTTCTGCATGTGGCCTGGATAGGGGGAAGGAGTGCTCAGCCTCGACAGCTGTGTGGGTAGAGGATGACTGCTCCAGATGCCCACTCCCTAGGGAGAAGTCGAGCCACACAGAGAGCCAGTGAGCCAGCGGCCAGGTCTGGGGGGTCACCCCCCAACTCCAGGAGAGGGTGGACTCAGGGCTCCTGCCTCAGATTCAGGATGTTGGGCCAAGACTCCCAGCTCTTCGGGGAGCTGTAACCAGGATGGGGGGTAGGGTGGGGCATCGACCTGGGAAGCCCTGATGGCAGAGGGCACTGACCCAGAGTAGGGGGCACGGACCCAACCAACCGTCTCGTGGGTCACTGACCTCAGAAAAACCGCACTCCGGCGGGGGGCAGTGACCAAAGATGCGGAGAACCGATGAGGGGACCGACCTGGCAGGGTGGGGAGGGCTGACCTATACTCCCCATCTGGGAAAGTGGGCACTGATTTGAGCTGGGGGAGGGGTCCTGGACTCGATCGGGGGAGGGGTCAATGACCCAGACTCGCCGGGTTTGGGCGAGAGTGCTGATTTAGGCTGGGGGGTCCCTGCCTCCAGCGGGCTGGGTCACTGCCCCGGCTTCCCCCTCGTGGAACCCGGTCCCGGCGCGCCCCTCGGCCCGGCCCAGTGTTCTCGGTCCGGCCGGAGGCGGCAGCGGCGCAGATGGGCTGCTGGCGGCCGCAGCGCGGTTATCAGCGCTCCTCGCAGATGGGCCAGCCGCCCTCTGCGCTCGCGGCTCCCACTCCCCGCGGCCTGCAGCCCCGTCCCCTGGGCGCGGGGGGAGGCGCCTCCGGATCTGCTCCCGGCTCCCGCCTCCCTCCCTCGCGGCCCCCTCACCCCGCGGGCCCGGCCCGCGGAGGGGGAGGAGGAGGGGACAAGTGCACTTTTCGTAACGACCGAATCAATTGTGTGTGAAGAGCCCGCTCCGGCCGGGGACGGGGCTGAGCGCGGGGCGGGCGGGCCGGCCGGGGGAGGAGCGCGGAGGGGGTAGCGGGGGAGCGGGGGAGGGAGGGAGGCCGGCGCGGGGCGGCCCGGCTCTTGCGCTCCGGCCGAGGAGGGAGCAAGAAGGGCGGGGGGAGGCCGGCGCGGCCCGACCGGGTCGGGGGCGGAACGCACTAATGGAGGGTCTCAGCGACGGAAAGTTCAAAGCTCAGCAGCGCCCCGGGAGCGGCCGCCCCCCCCAGCCCCCACCCTCTGCAGAACAATGGGGTCCCGGCGGGGGAGCCGCGGGGCCCGCGCAGCACGCCCTCTCCAGGGCGCCCCGGGCCAGAGGGGACGCCCCCGCCAGGCCGCCCGCCTCCTCCCTTTAGGCTGCTGCGGTTCCCCGCCCCCTCCCCCACGCCACCCCGCCCGGACCGGGCCGGCCTGGGGGACGGGGGAGGGGAGGGGATGGATAGGTCAGGCCGCCCCCGTCCCGGGGAGGGGGGAGCGAGGGGGCCGAGGGGGCGCCCCACCCACCCGCGGGAGGCTGCTCCTGCGCCAGGCTGCGGCTCCGGCCGCCCCTCCCCGGGCCAGCCCCGGGTGGGGTCGGGGCGACAGTGCCCCGGCGGGCCCCCTCCTCTGGCGCTGGGAGGCCCGGAGGAGTCCCCGTCCCGCGGCAGCCCCTACCTCCCTCTCCCCCACCCCGCGGCACCACCCTCCGCACACACACATACACACCGCCCAGCCGGCCCGGGGGCGGGAGCGCGAGGCGCCCGGGACAGGCAGCCCCGGGGCGGGCGGGGGGAGGCTCGGGCTCCAGAGCAGCCGCCTGCTGGCGGGGGGAGGGGACGGGAGGACGGAACATGCTGGGGTGAGCAGCCCGGGACAGCCCGCCCGGCACGGCCACGGCCCGGGCAGCGGCGCGGAGGGGGGCAGGGACGCCCCGAACCCGGAGCGCTGCCCAGGCGAGCCGGGGAGGGCCGGTGAGCAGGGACGCGTGCGTCTCCGGCGGCCCGACACACGGACAACCTCAGGGACACACGTTCGGACACACATCCACACCCCCACCCCGCCCCCGCCCGCCCGCCCTGATCCCCGCCGCGGGACCCGCCCGCGGCCGCCGCGCGCGCACTCACCGAGCCCGTCTTGACCGGCACATACACCACTTGGCCCATCTTGGGTTCCCGGCCGCTGCCCAGGCGGAAGCCCTTGGAGCGCACCCAGAACTGGAACTTGCCTTTCTCGCCGGCTGCGGGGCCGCTGCCCGCGCCGGTCCCGCCGCCGCCCTGCAGGACCTCGGCGATCCGCTGGTATTTGCTGCGTGTCACTGTCTTGGTTTTGGCCGAGTCGCCGTAGGTGCGCAGGCACCAGTCCCGGAACTGGCGGCCCAGCTCCGAGTCCCCGGGGCTGCGCTCGCGCTCCCAGCCCCCGCGCAGCAGCAGCGTCGGCTTCGGCATCCTCCCGCCGCGCCCGGCGCCCTCGGGGGCGGGCCGGCCGCCGGGCCGCCCGGTGCCGGGACTGGGCTGGGCTGTGCTGGGCCGGGCCCGGGCGCGCCGCGGCCGGGGCTGTCCCGCGGTGTGGCTCCGGCGCTGCTGCTGGATGGGCGCGGGCGGCGGCCGGACGCGCGGGGCTGCGGCGCGCTCTGTCCTGCTCGGGCGGCGGCGGCGGCGGCGGCGTTGGCGGCGGCGGCTCCGGCTCGCCTCCTGCTCCGCCTCCTCCTCCCCCCGGCCGGGATGCAGGAGCGATGGAGGCAGCTCCGGGCCCGGAGGTGCAGAGGGGGCGGGCCGCCCCGCGGGCGGCCGGGGGAGGCGGGAGGCGGGGAGCGGCCCCGAGCGCGGGGAGCGAGACCGAGCCTGGGCGCGGGCGGCAGCAGTGGCTGTCAGCTTGCGCGGCTCATCCTGCTCCTGCTCCTGCTCAGGCTCCCGCTGCCGCGGCTCTTCCTCCTCCTCCTCCTCCCGCGCCCGCCTCCACCACGCCGCGGGATCCCACCTGTTAGAGCGGCGCAGCCTTCGCCGCCGCCCGCCCCCCCTTCCTCCCGCGCCCGCCCGCCGGGCCCAGCCCCCGCCCGGCCCGGCCCCTGGGGGCGCGGGGGCCGCAGCGCCCGCAGCCGCCGGGAGAGCAGAAGCCGCAGGCGCGCAGTGCCCAGCCCAGGGACCGCGTTCCATCTGGCCGGGCCGGGCCCGGAGCTTCGCAGGCCCCGCTCCTCCCGGACGCGGCGGTCCCGTGGGGAGTAAGGCGCAGACCCCAGCCCAGCCGCCGGCCCCCTGGCCGCCCCGCCCCACTTAGCCCGGCCGGGAGATAGAGGGCAGGCTCCCCTTTCTCGCTCCGGCAACTGACCTCTCTCCTGTCAGCTGACGCCAGGAGAGTAGTGTTCCCCTGGGGGAACCCCACATCGTCGCCCTTCGGGGCCCCCAAACTTCCTCTCCTTTTGCCTCACCCTGAATTCCCCGAAATTTGGCCAGCTTTGCCTCTGCTTGCCTGCTCCACTGCTCTGGGGCAGGCCCAGGCCCCCTGGGAAGTCGCCCGTGGCCTCAGCCCCATCCCACCTCGGCCTCAGAAAACACTCAGCACATCCACAAACTCATCCTGAGACTCCCTGCCTTCCCGGGCGCGCCTTGTCCTAGAATCTCTTGCTGAGTAAACTCAGGTGGCCCCACTGCCCCCCTCCTACCTGGGCAGATCTGACCTTGGGTAGAACTACCTGGCCCCCCTCCGCCTTAATGAAATTACCAACATAGATAAAGGCACAGGCCAATTCCCCAGGATTTCTGCACCCCCTACCCCCACTTCCTTAACAGGTCATGAGGAATTGCACTTCTCTCCTCGGCATCCCCTGGGTCCACCCCCTGTCCCCACGACACTCCTGTAGGCAATTCACCATCCAAGTCCTGAGACCCAGACTTTGGCTAGCCCAGGACCATCATTTCCTGCCTAGTAACTATGGGCTACACTCATCCCAAAGTCCCCCACCCCAGGACCTACTGCGTGCCATGTCCTGGCAACTCTGAGAGGCAGAGGGGATGGCCCCATTTTACAGAGGAAGGCCTGGGGCTTGGAGAGGTGGCCTGACCTGCTCAAGGTCACGCAGGAAGGAGGGGGTGGGTTTCAGCTCATGTGCATCTGGCTCCTACTGCCATATCACACAGTCTTCCCCTTTCTCCGCGCTGGGAGAGAGCCGCACGCGGTGTATACCTGGCTCCTTTCCCCCAGTAGACAGGGAGTTCCAGATGCTCAGGGTCGTACCTGACCCATCCTCATATGCACAGTCCCTAGCACCACACCTGGTACACAGTAGGTGCCAATAAATGCTGAAAGAACCCTAGAGGTCTCCCAAGTCCCAACCTCTCTCTGCATTTCACATAGGAGATTATTTTTAGATAATTTACATTTCCATGTTACTTTATATACACCAACAACTCCACAGTCATTTTTCCTCTTTATCTTCCCAAGAGCTCTTTTTGGCTCTATGCTGGTAGGCATGCCCATTTTTAAGAGGTGACCACTCAGAGCGGGGAAGGCACTACCCAAAGGCCAGCCGCAGGAGCACAGGGGCTTCCGCATGATGAAGCTCAGACCCTGAGTTTTTCAGGGATAACCCTTGACGGTGATCCTTCCAGCAGCCTCTTCCTGAGAGCAAAGGAAAGTCTAGCCTGCCAATGGTAATCTAACTGGTGGCAAATATGCCCCGTGCCTGGGTGGTGGGGTCCCTGCGTGAGCCCTGGTCTCTCTGTCCAATTCAATAACCGCTGAGCCAGACCTCCTCCCCACCCAGTCAGTCTTTGCCTGCCTTTCAGAGCCTAAAAACCTGGTTGTCAGTCTCGGGCTGAGTCCCACCACAGCAGAATGCGTAGTGTCATGTAAAGAACATAGGCTTCAGGTACAGTCAGATTCGGAAGTGAATCCTGACGATGATTTGCCATGGCATTCTTCATGCTCACAGGTCCCACTTGGCTACTTCCCAACTGCAAGAAGCCATCATTCCACCCTTTGCTGGGTGACCTCAGGCAGGTCACTGAGCCCTTACTTCATCATCTGTATAATGGGGCAGGATGTCACGGATGTAGAGATGCCACAGGATAAGAGTGCCTGACCTGTGACCAGTGCCCAATAAGTGCCATTTTCTCCCTCATGGGGCCTCGAAGTATCCAAGGAGGAAGACAGGCATTGCTGTGCTTCATTCATTCATTCAATAAACATTTGTTTCACAGCCATTCTGCAGAAGGGGCTTGGGATACGGTCATGGGATCCCCAAGGTCCCTGACCTACTGGAGTGCACCAGTGGGTATGGAAGACAGCTATCGAGCAAACCAGCAATTGATCACAACAGCCCAGGGAATGGACCACAAAGGAAAGAGGGAGCATGATAGCAAATAATGCAGAGAAGGGGCTGCTTTTCTTAGGGGGATCAGGGAAGGCCCCTCTGAGAAGGGAGCATCTGAGCAGTGACTTAAATGACAGGTGCCAAGGCATGCTGTACCTGCATTCCAGGCAGAGGGAAGAGCAAGAGCAAAAGCCCCAAGGTGGGAAGGAGATTGGCATGTTCCGGAAGCTGGAAGGTGGCCAGTATGGTGAAGCAAGGGAAGAGGGGTTGGAGGGCAGGAGTCTTCAAGACCCTGGGAAATCCTTTGGATGGCATTCCAGCTGCTATGGGAGCTACTGGCGGGATTGAAACGAGCGAGACTGTGGGATAGAGAAGAAGTAAGGAGCGGAGGGCAGCTGCAGGGGTCCAGAGGTCTGTGGTCTTAGAGGTCAGAGGCCTGGAGCTCTCCCCGATATGTGGCAGCTCACCGCACCAGGCACGTCCCAGCCTCTTGCCCCAAGGGCTCCTGGGATAGTGGAGGTGGAGGTGGCTGAGCCAAGGAGTGAGAACGGCCTACTGCGGCCCATCCCCACTTCTACAGAAACAGAGCCTAGGTCTTCCACCTCTCGGTGTCACTGGGGTCTTCTAGAAGGGGCATGCTGGGTTGGGGGTAGTCTCCCACAATGTCCAACTCCGGGCGGGGGGATGCAATCACAGTCCCAGGGGGCAGCTGCTCCTTTTTGATTCCCATTCTGGACACCTGCCAAAGGACAAAGCAGGCTGCCCCATGAATCAAAGGCCAGGAGATCCTCTGCATTTTTTAAAATTTTGAGACAGGGTCTAACTCTCCCAGGCTGAGTGCAGTGTCGCAATCAGAGCTCACTGGAGCCTCTACTTCCGAGCTCAAGAGATCCTCCCACCTCAGCCTCCTCAGCAGCTGGGACCACAGGCATGCACCATCACACCCAGCTATTTTTTAAAAATTATTTTTTGTTGAGACAGGGACTCTCTTTGTTGCCCAGTCTGGTCTCAAACTCCTGGGCTCAAGTGATCCTCCCACCTTGGACTCCCAAAGTGCTGGGATTACAGGCATTAGCCACCATGCCCAGCCTCTGGATTTTTTTTTTTCTTTTTCACATTTAGTCCAGGTGTCCAAAGGAGACTAGAGGTGAAGTGCAGGGAGTCCAGGCCCCCAGGGCTTACATCCAATCCTAATATGGATAATAACACACTGAGTCATATGAGCTTGGTGATAAAGGGGTCTCAGAGTACACAGTCCAAACTCTTCATCTGATAGATGGGTAAACCGAGTCCCACAGGAGAAAAGAGGCTGAGGGCTGCAGGGCAGAGCCAAGCACCTAGCTTTTTCCTGGTTTGGCGCTGATCACCTGCCTTCCACTGAGCTCTGACCCTGGGCCCAAATGAGCGGGAATGCCTGCCACTCGGCGGTGAGGTAGCTCTGTCCCTGCCCACTGGGGTGGGGCAGACTGACCCAGGCTCCCACAGAGTCCTGTCCGTCCAAGGGCTAGGAAGAGCAGAGAGGTTCCAGAGTCTTAGGGAGAGGTAGTTTCCACCACTGGGTGCTGGTGCCCCTTCCATCAAGGGTTCATGCAGCCACCTGCCACCCCCCTATTCCATAGCATCCCCCTGTGGCCTGCCAGCCACGTTGAGCCACTGCTCCACCCCTGCCTCTCCAGAAAGGCCTTCTGACCTCTCACGTTGGGTCAGGGGCTTTCTCTGGTCACTTGCAGAGCCTTGGGCTGTCCCCTTGCCAGCTCTGACCACAGCATATCACGATGACCTCATTACCTGTGTTGACCAGTGCCCAGCGCAGGAGCTGAGGCTTAATCATTATTGAATAAATTGATAAATAAGCAACCAACCAAATGAATGAATGAATGGGCTTATCCTCAAAAAGCAGGTGTTAAAGTCTGCAGCATTTGCTACCACCCTAGTATGCTTCCCCCATAATCAATCCATCCATCAGCATTTATTGTGCTCCTCCTAACAGGCTCTGCTGAGTGACTGAGTCCCTTAATCTCTCTAAGCCTCAGTGTTCAAAGCCAATAAAATGGGAATATTAATAATCAGACCTAACTCAGGGGGCTGTCGAGAGAACAAGCACCTCCTGTTGTGATTATGCCCATCCATCATCCCAATGTTTGCTGGGGCATCTTCTGTATGTCAGCCACGGCGCTTAGTGTTGGGAATACAATAATCAACAAGAGGGGCCTGGCCCATGACGCTCAGGGACGAGCTGACTTTAAAAAAGGTCCTGACAGGCCAGGCACAGTGGCCCACACCTGTGATCCCAGCACTTTGGGAGACCACAGCGGGTGGATCGCTTGACCCCAGGAGTTCAAGACCAGCCTAGACAAGATGGCGAAACCCCATCTCTACAAAAAAATACAAAATTAGCCTGTGGTAGTGGTGTGCACCTGTACTCCTAGCTACTTGGGACGCTGAGGTAGAAGGATTGCGTGAGCCTGGGAAGTAGAGGCTACAGTGAGCTATGATTGTGCCACCGCACTCCACCCTGGGAGACAGAGTGAGATTCTGTCTCAAAAAA